TCAAGATTTTTCAAGTTGTAAAGTGAATTGAATCTAATCAAATTTCTGCACTCAGAACTATAAACGAATCACCTCATCAAGTCTGATCAAATTTGGTCGACTCAAGTTGTAAAATTAATCGAATCTGATTAGATTCAAATTAGAATGGACACTCCTAAAATGAATCAATGAGGCTTTCTCTTTTCAAGGCGAATACTTACCATACACGTGGCTTTGGTTATTGTATCAGCATCGAAACCAGCAAGTTCTGCCTCTTCTGTAATCGACAGCATCACGTCGATGAAGTCTTGTTCGCTGCTAGCGTTCCCTACATCTCTCTTTCGACGATGCTCCTGCAACCATTCTTCGAAAATGTCGTCCATCTCTTTTCCAGTTTCTTTCATGGCCTTCTCATATCCACCCAAATCCAACCACCCCAGGAAAGGAAGGTTGTCAGCCACGGCAAAGAGACCAATATAATTAAAGAAATCCCTCATCACCTTCTGGCACCGCATTGCCGCCTTGTCGTCTTTGGCGGAAGTTGTACCATAGTATCTCTTTCCAGCAACCATTCTAAGAACAACGTTGAGAGTCAAGTCCCCAAACCACTGCTTCATCTCCACCAATACATGGCCTGACCTGTCTTTCTTCTCTGCCCAAAGCTTGTAAAGTTCTTTCATGGAGGTCTCCGTTTCAGAGATACGAATATGCTTGAGCAGTTCAAGCCGTCGATTTGAAAGTAGTTCCAGGGAGGTTATTTTGCTCAATTGACGCCAATATTCACCATAAGGAGAGAACCCAAACATTGCAGAGTTGTAACCCAAGTGTTTAGATACCACAAAGTTGGGACGCGATGATATGGCCAAATCGTGGGTAGTGAACAACTCCCAACTACTCACAACCAAGGCTCGGTGTACCCCGAGCTGGATGGTGAAGACCGGACCGTACTGGTCAGGCATGGCTCCCAAGGTTATGTGTGGAACCTGATACCCTCCAAAGAGGTGAAGGTGACCAACTATGGGCCATGCACCACCAGCTTCAGGTGCTAACCTTTTACTGACTGTAGTCTTAACAGTTTTAGACCTCCAAAGCAAGAAAAATAGAACAAAAAGTGCAGCAAAGATTCCAGCTATGGCAGTGTTAAGGTGTGGAAGTAAGAAATCCATAGCACCTTTGGCACTTGCTGCTCTGGCAATGGATATATAGTACTATGCCATTAAGCAGTATGTTACAAATAATAATATGGGATCTAAAAATCTGATCAAAGATCCTGATGTAAAAACAAAATACAAAGATCATAATTACAATAATAGTACTGAAACATATCAACTGCCACACTACCAATTCAAATTTTTTAATTGCACTGCTTTGAATAGAAATCTTTTCCTTTATGGTTTTCTTCAATTGTCCTCGATGGTAGATCACCAATAATAACTTCAAATAGGACGCACTGTTTATAACTAGACATTTCATCATACATGGTGTGTGGTTTTATTATTGGGTGAAAGTGTGATAGAAATGTTCCAATAGCAGGGTGAGACAATCCACTTTGTTTATGAGATATACTAATAAAGCAGGCTTATCTTATCTGTTATAATATATTAAACTCTTAATTGGATAAGTGCATGGCATTGACTATGGATTTGTCTTAAGCCCAACTTATCCATGGTTCTTGTTAAAGGTGGAATTTAGAAGAAAAAAAGCTCCTCATCGCCACCATAACAGTTTGACACCACTGTTTAATCCATAGTCTTATTAGAGTACTTCTTCATGGTGGAACACTTTCAAAATTTTTCTTGACCCAGTAATCTGATTGGTGGCAGGGGTAGAGCGAGAAATTTATTTAGTGTAGACACACTCGAACTACACAATTCAATATTTTCTTCCGATAAATAAAAAATAATATGACGCGATTGTATTTTTAACATCATATTTGTTAGGAAAAAATTCTTTAAATACAAAAGAGTTTAAAAAAAAAAGTTAAAATTTGTTGAAAACTACAATTTTGGGAACTCTTTTGTTAATAAGTCTAGGGACGAACTTTTTAAGTCATTAAGTCCTACTCAGCTCATCCTTTTTGTCCTATAGTTCAAGCTAATCTTTCTCCTTTTTTTATTACAATATTACCCCTACTCTATGAACTTCACAAAATTCAAACAAACATTCAACATTACAAAACCAAACCAATAAGATCATCCAAAATTCTCCATATCCAACAATTGATTAGTTCATTATCATTAAGTTCAACATCGTTTAGTTCGCTATCTTTTAGTTATTTGTTGAGTTGACTGTCTTGAGTGTGCCTTCACGCCACCTCCCAAGTCCACCACCACCCTCTATCTTTCACCCTCACGAAGTTTCATTCTATCAAAATTCATTATTTGTGAAAATTTGTTGAATTAACAGTTTCATTCTATTAAACTTTACTATTTTTTAAGTTCATTGTTTATATTTTTTTTAATTTTTTTTTGAGTTCACAATTTTTGATATAGATTCCTCAATTCAAATTTTTAATATTTTTTTTAGTTCACTACCTATGAAAATTTTTGTGGTAGGTAAGTGGTGGTGGTGGAGGTGATGCAAGTGGTGGTGGGTGATGGTAATAATGGTGGTGGTGGGCGATAACATCTGCAGCGATGTGGGTGGATGGCAGCGGTGGTGGTCGTAGTGCGCAATGGTGGGTGGTAGCAGTTGTGGTGGTGGTGGACATCATTTGATGGCGATGGTGGTGGGTGGCAATGGTGGTAGTGGATTGTGGTGGGCGGTAGTGGATAGCATTGGATGGCGATGACGGGCGACGATGGTGATAGTGTGGTGGTGGTGGTGGTGTTGGTGTTGGTGGTAGGCCGCAGTGATGGTGACGGTGATGATTGTAATAATAACAAATATAAGAATAAGATAATGGTGGAGGCTTTTAAATATCCTCCTTCATGAATGATATTTTTGTCAAGAATTGATTTTATAGACTTTTGGCCTTAAAAATGTTGAGGCCGGACCTAAAGCCAAAAAAATACCTGAATATATAACTCTCACCAAATCTCCTAGGAAAAAAAAACTATAAACATAGGCTATGTAAACAAAAAACAACAACGAAAAGATTTAATTATTACTCTAACATTGGGCTAACTATAGCCATTTAAATTTGAACCCGATGAATTTTTATACTACAAAAACGTTGCATGATAATTTTATTATCAATGCCATTAAAAATGTATTTTTTTTTATATAAAAAATCATATTATCTGTCATTCATTGAAGCCTTTACAATTTTTATTGTTAAAAATGTACTCTCGATGGCTACGATCGCAATTGATAATATTAGGATCAAAGTCACAAGTAGATAAACTAATGAATATATTATATTTTTTTTCTTTTATTTATTTATTTATTTATTTTTTCATTGAGGGTGGGACCAATTCAATAAAACTAAAAATATATCAAAAACACATATAGGTTAAAGAAAAGAAAAATTCAGAGGGTGGGCCTAATTGCCTTGATTGGTGGGTGTCAAAATAATTAAAGCCTAATTTAGTATTAACAGTACCCATCAAGCAATCGGCCTCTCAACGGATTGGATATGAACTAGATTAGTCTATATATGAATCCAAATTTGAATCCAATTAAAGTTTTGTCGATTCGATCCGATTATTCAACGGATTTAGGAAATTCAATCTATGTCCGAATTCGTTACTTTTTAGATATCCGATCCGAAAATACGATCCAATTCGATTATCACAAAAGCACATGTACAAAAAATTAACAATAAGAATTTGGATAATGAACTAAAAAAAAGAGAAAAAAATGAAAAATTGAAGTAAATGCAAGAGGAAAAATCAAACAAGAGGAAAACTAAATAAAAATGAACAAAATGGGTCATACATTGTAATATTCACTCTATTTTTACTTATTTTTCAGTATAAATATAATATATGTGTAATATTTATTTACATAATATATTTTTATATTAGAATCGAATTAATAATGAATCGGATTATTATAAATTCATATCTGAATTTGTTTAGACAACTCTAATCGAATTCAGATTTGGGTTGAAATCCGGTGCATTGAGAGGCCTCCATGAATGCATTATTAACATTTGCCATCTATGAATGTGTTTTTTTTAAAATCTACTAGGCGGAGATCCATGCGATACACGTAATTAAATAATTTGTATGCCTACTTTTATTTCTTTCATTATCTTCTCCTATTTCCTATCCATCATTTAAGGAATAAAGAAATTAGATAAATAATTATAAAAATTTAGGGTGATAGAAAATAATTTTTAAAAATATTTAAATGAGGTGTTATTAGTTAGTAGAGGAATAGTTATATTAAATTGAATACATTAAAATAAATTAAAATTTTAAAAATTGAGAAAATATGGTGGGAATGCCTCCCAAGGTCTCTCCCACTGAATTTGTTTGCTATATAATAAAGTATAGATTTGCTATTACAATTATGAAGTTAAACTCTCAACTTATGAAAATACAACTAATATTAAGATTCATCTAATCTTCATATAATTTGACCAAATGATATAAAATTCATTCAAAAAAAATTTCGCTTAAAAAGTATCGTCTTCTCTATAATATACGGCTCCCAATGTCAAACAATTCAATCAACACATGAACATTTCTTAATGCTAAACAATCTCATCAATCAATACATACCTCTCTTGTCTCTCTATTTATTTTAATTTTAAATTACGTAATTAAAAAAATTAAATTTATATTTGAAATATAAATATTACAGAATTAATGTTCAATTTTCGATATTTTACAGCTTCTTCACGGAGTGATCACTAGTTAACTTACATGATATTAGACAACCGCAAGCAAGATATAAAAATTACATGATATTAGGGTTAAAATAAGGTAACCTAGCTCGGTCTTCGATTCCAAAATCATTTTCCAATTATTTGGGAATTAAATACGAGATAAATTTGTTAATCTCATATAAATTAAAGAAAATTAGCCCCTCTATAACTTTTTAATCCAAGTATACAAAACCCTAGCATTCTGAACAGCGAAAAATAAATTACCAACTAATAGAATAATAAAAAGAAATCAAAGGCACCTCAAAAATATCCGAATGATAGTTTTGATAATGAATTGAACAACGGGTATAGCCGATTAGGCATACCTTTAGGTTCTGACAAAAAATGCTAATTTTGTGGTTTTTAAATATAAATATTTTAATTTTAAATGTAGAATCATTTTTCCTCCTAATTTTGGAAAGATTTATTTTATTAGTGACTGATAAAGAAAATTTATCCGTCTATTTTTTTATCTTTCCTATTTTTTTTCCCGACCAAACATAATATTTAATCTATCACTCTAACTTTCAATTCTTCCAACTTTTCATCAATTCATATACATATAGAAAGTTTGAAGGATAGATAGAACATCATGCTTAATAAAGAAGAAAAATAAAAAGATGAAATTTTTTATCATTCCATTTTTCTATTATACCAAACGAAGTATAAAGATTTAGTTCCCCTTTAAAGGGTGCATAGCTAGGATGGTTTCTCCTTTATCCAAAAGAGAGACAAAAAAAGAAAACCACAACTGTTAGATGCATGCTATTAGTAACATTCTGCTACCCATGGTAAAAAAGGCAATACCCTTCCTATGCTCACATTAAGCAACAAGCAGTGACAAACACATTGTATATGAAGATTTGGCATACACATGTTTAAATTGTATAACAATCTATCATGTTTCAAGAAACTCATCAGCATCTTCATGTTTGACTCTAATATTTTACATCTCTACCACAGTCCTAATGACCAATCCCTTTGTTCTCACTCTGACGAAAATCATAGAATATTAGTGAGAAGGGACAATGAAGGATTCCGGGTTGTTAAGTTGCTCGTCTCGATGATAACTGCACAAATGAATGCTAGCTGGCACATAATTCATATGTCCGTCACACAGTCAGGGAAGCACCATTGTCCGCAATTGTAAGATTAAGTATCATTGTAGCTGCCTTTGGAGCCCTGCTCAAAGGAAACAATATTTCGAATTAGGAAAAGCAAACAAGATATATATATTTTTGACAAAGGTCCATCAGCATGTGTTGCACTTGCACAAGACAGTATAGATTTGAGCGTGTCTCATTGATTCTGGTACAAGCAACCCCTCAATCACTGCTCACAGCTGGCAAA